AAACAAGAGCCGGAGCGTAAAACGTTTAAGCGCAAGGGCTCAAGAGCGGACAAAAACAGATCTTCATTAACCGTTGGAGCATTGTTGCCCGGATATCAGGACCGAAAACCCTTGGCACTTGGCGATCATTGTCTTTTCTATTGCTCGTGCTTGATAAGTTGCTCGGCTTATGGGTGCGTGTTGCCGAAAACGTTGCTAGAGTATGAGTACCACGATAACATTAAGCTGCTGTAGGTCGATCCTCGGGCTCCTGCTGCTGGTTGGCGCCGTCCCGCTGGAGCAATTTCGCTTCGTTTGGCAGTGGCATGGATCCAGGGCCCCTGGTTTGGCTTTCTTCGCAGCTTCTGCACTAGGCCAGAAGCTCAGCCTGGATGGAGTGAGCCATGTCCTTGCACTGCAGGGCCTTGCAGCTGTTGCTTTCTGTTGTATTTGTTGTTCACCAAGCAGTGTAGTAACACTGTGGGGTTCTTACCTTGGGTGTAAAGACGACGCTGGTGGACCAGGGTTCGCGTTGTGGCACGGTGCTCGATTTGAAAAAAAAAACAGTGCTCCCGCCGCAGCGCCACTCAGAAATTGGGCTCCTGCAGCTACGTGGATGGCGCTCTCGCCACAGTGCCGTGCGTGTTTCAGGTCCCGTCTCTGTAAGGGCATTCAGAGTTTTCAATCGGCATCATCCAAAGTGCGTCAAATCGTAGCAGGGACAGACCATGAGGGCTTTGGGCGGCTGGAACGTCGCGAATCTGTGGCAGGGGAGAGCTCGAACTCGTGGCAGGGACAGACTACGACGGCTTTCGGCGGCTAAAAGCTCCCGAAATCGTAGCAGTAGTAGACTTTCCGGGAATTGGAGTGGTCTCGAGGGTGGTCAGGGTCGGGTGGGGTGGTCTTGGAGTGGTCCTTCAATTGTCTTGGAGTGGTCTTGAGTGGTGTTGGAGACGTCCTGGCGCGGAGTGGTCCTGGGAGGGGCCCTCCAGTGGTCTTGCAGTGGCTTGGGAATGGTCCTCAAGAATTCTTGGAGTGGTCTTAAGAACGGTCTTGAAAATGGTTTTGGGAGTGGTTTTGGGAGTGGTCTCGGACTGGTCTGAGGAGTAGGTCCTGGCGCGGGCGTTCTTGGCGGTGGTCATTGGAGTGGTCCTCCGGTGGTGTTGGAGTGGTTTGGGATGGTCCTCAAGCGGTCCTGCTGAAAGGGTTTTGGAAATGGTCTTGAAGTGTTCTTCAATGGTTTTCGAGTGGTCTGGGGAGCTCGTGGTGTGGTCCTGAAAAATGCTCTGCTCATGTGGTCTTTCGAGCGGTCTCGGGAATGGTCCTCAAGTTGGAGTGGTCTGGGGGGCCTCCAGTGGTCTTCCGGAGCAGACCGCAATGGACCTCTTTGGAGCATTTTGGAGTCATCTTGCAGTGGTCTTGGAGTGGTCCTTCAGGGATCCTGTGAGGGGTCATGGAATTGTTCCTCACGGGTGTGGTCCTTCACTGTTTGGGGTTTATGCCGGCATGATATTAGTTGCAAGGGCGGGCATGCTTGGCAGGAACAGGGGAGCAGCAACTGAGCAACAGCAGATTCAGAAACCTATAAAGAATAAGCTGGCGACAGGGACCCGAATGAAAAGACAAGAGCATGCCACCAACAACAAAACTGTGTAATAATCTAGCATCCTACACCCTGAAACAGTTGGCCAGCACCGTGACCAGATTCAATCAGACAATTCATCATGCCTTCTTCGATTAAGCAGCAAAGTGTTGCTATCAGGTGGTGTTTGTTTTTCTCATTTTGCAGCACCTGTTGCATACCATGCACACCCCTATGGGGATCAGCGGCAAGAGATGGGTGACTGAGCGAGGAGGACATGTCATCTGAAAATCTAACAACCCAGATGGGGGTGGAGGTGCCTAAGCAATTTCTCGGGTTTCTTGCTCGAAAAATGATGAGCGACCCGCACGGCAGCTTTTGGATACACCCCGTCTACATCCGAAGACCGCAAGCCATGCACCAAAGAGGCCGGCCTCCTCTGACCCAGTTCAGAATCGGTTTAATCAGTTTAGCCGGCTTAATCAGTTGAATGCGTGCTGCCAAAACTCCCAGCGTGCATAATGAGGCCAGTGATCCTTTTTGGTGACTTCCTACCTCCCCCCTTCTCTTCCCCGTTCCCTCTCCAACTCCTCGCCTTCTCCTCCCTTGCAAAGGCTTTCAGGGGCCTTGAGTGCCAGGATCGAGATGGGCCTGTCTGTACTTCAAGGCTATGCGCAAGGAGAGAGAGAGAGCTTCAACAGGCGCATGGAGAATGAGACAAGGGAGGCTCTGTGCACAAGAGAGGAACAGCAAGGAGAGTGAGACATGTAGTATGGAGAGAGGGAGGGCGGGGTGAGCTCAGGAGATGCCCTGGGCGACGGCATCCATGCAATCTGCACGGACCATGTAAGTGGCCCTCTGCAAAGCCTCGCGAACTCCTTCATCTCGATCTTTATCGCCGTCCTCTCAATGTCTTGTCCTGAGACACGACACTGCATCCCACTTCTGTCTTAAGCTGCTTTGCGAGGTGTGTCTTTCAAGAGCGCTACTCTCTGATGCAGTGCTTGGCTCTTTTGGCGGTGCATCGCTGGCTTTCCGGAAGGGGTTGAGACATATGAGAGCTTCAGAATGCTTCAAACTTCTTGTTCGCAGTGCCAGGTGCTTTCGGCTGTGGCCTCTCGGCTGTGCCCTGATCTTGAAAGAAAAGTAAAAAGAAAAATGGTCCAGAAGCCAGGTCGTGGGTTTCCTCCCGTCGCTGGAGGGCCACAGCAACACCCAGCCCGAGTTCGCCATCATTTTTGCAGGCTGGGACTGCTGGCACCTGAAGCGTGCCTAGCTTCCCTAGCTGCCACTGTGTAAGGCAGCTGCTTCTTTTATTCCGTCGCTCGGCCAGGTTGTGCAGGTGTTGCCCAGGTCAATGTGGCCCTTCTGAGGCTTCCTTTGTGATCAAGGAGCTCATGTTCAAGCGCTTCAAGGTGGGAGAACCGAAGACAAAGGAGGGAGACCTACACTGCTTTTCTGCAGCCATACCGTATCAGCTCCACGCAAGTCAAAACCACAAGCCAACATGAAACCAAAGCAACAGTGGTGGACCAAGCCTCGGGGAACTGCCCAGCTTGAAGCTCCAATTGAAAAATCCTGCAACTGAACTGGACCAGATATCCTTGAATGCTTATTGAAACATCTAGCTACGTAACACCCACCCCCACCCCCACCCCGACGCNNGACGACGCCGGCGACGACGACGACTGGGCTGCGAAGTTGCATGACAGATGCTTTCGGCTTCATCAGCAAAATGTTGCCATGGCATCGCTGTTCACTATTGACTTATTGGCTTGTAGCTCTGATTATTACCATTACTCGTCCTTTTCCTCTTGCTCTTGCTCTTTTGCTTACGCTTACCCTTACTTTTACTCTTACAGTTACACTTTCACTTACACTCACGTTTACACCCACGCTTACACTCACACTTGGACTTGCACTTGCACTAACTACTACTACTACTACTAC